TTTCATTGTCTTCACTCTTTCAAACTCATAAATCATATTAATATATCACTCTTTATAGTGTTCTGAAAAGGGCATTTACATAATGATTAAAGAGCATATGAAGATCTTTTAAATCCAACATGCTCCACCATAGAAAGGGGATGTTCATGCATTAATTATGATCATATTTACAAGTTGTCTGGCACAATCAAGAGAACCAAGACAAATGTCCACTTGGACTATTCCAACTTAAAAGCTATTAAAGGATGGTCTAGGAACTGGTTGTTTGTTACAACGGATGGAACTAACGTCCAATGGATTAGTTATGATCCAAAGCCCATATATAGATGACATCATCCTCTTCCAAATGCCAATCCCAGCTGAAACCATTATGGGTTTTCATGTCTAAGTGTGCATAAAATGTTTCTAGTGATTGGCGACTCCTATGCACCATATGATCCAGTATTTCTCCCTCATAAACCTTTAGGCTGTGTTTGGTTGCAATTAGACCTGTTCATGGGTCGGGCTGGGCTGGGCTCGGGTTGGACTTTTACTCTTTATTAACAGAAAAATGTTAGGCTCGAGCCCGAGCCCGAGCCCGAGTCCGGCCCAACCAATGGGCCTACAACTTGGGCCTGAGCCCGGCCCGACCAACGGGCTTACAACTTGGGCCCGAGCCCGGCCCTGATAAAATGCCCGAAGCCCGACCTAATAAAAGAAATTTGAATTTTTCCCTATTCAAATGGACATTATCTATTTTAATTCAGATGTTTTTCCCCTATTTAAATGAACAATGGGCGTACAAGTGAATCAACAACCTTCTTAAATCAAAAAATTTATTCAAATGGATATTACATAGGGTTTTTACTTAGGTTTCACTATAGGTCGGGCCGGGCCGGGCTCGGGCCGGGCTATTTTGGCAAAACCCGAGCCTGACTCGAATTTTATGCGGGCTGGGCTTTTTGGCCCGAGGTTAAGCCCGCGGGCCAAAAAGCCTGTTCAAGCCCATCCGGGGGCCAGGCTGGCCCGTCGGGCCACCTGACCCATGAATAGGTCTAGTTGCAATGCAAATAAATTTGTACTAATGCAAAACTATGGCAGTGCAAATTATTTGAGTGTAAATTTTGACTTATTTTTATTTTAAATTTTAGTTTATTTTGTTTGATTGCAGTACAAGTAAAGTAAATTAAGACATGAAGCAGAATAAAGTAAAATCCAAAACAAAATTAAATAAGAATTTGCATTTTTTACATTTACACTAATGCATTTTGTTTGATTTGCATTTTATTTTTAATATTTTTGTGTCTTTTGACTTTTGAGTTTCCATTATTTTTAACAGTTTTGTCCCTTTCCAAGTTCCAAACTTAAATCAAAGGTCCAAAAATATATATTAGAGTTGAACATTGGATGATTGAGATAATGGTTTCAAGTAACCACGTTGGGCGTTTCAACTTCCAACTTCAAGTTCTGTTAATCTGTTTGACATCAAACATTTACAAAAACTCAAAAAGTTAAAAATATGGAAATGAAAAGATCAAAAGCCCAAAAAGGTCGTGAGAGTAGCTCATGGTTCGTTTTGGTTGTTTGGGTAATTGCCTAACTGGGTCAATGGGATTTGGTCTCAAGTCTCAACTCTAGGAATGGTAATGGGGCAGGCTTGGGGTGAGGATCATATTTCCTGTCATTTCTTTTGATAGGAAATCATATTCTCCGTTGTTGACCCTGATCCTTGTTGGTGTTAGGGATAAAAGTTGTCTTTCATCCCTGATCCCCGAATCCCCAATTTTTTTAAGTTAATAGTATACTTTAGAAATTAAATAAATATTTTTAAATATAAATGATATTTCAAATATACATTATATGAATAATATCGATATATATGTAATATGAATAATATTTAATATATAACCAGAGTGGGGGCGGGGTGAGGACCTTAATGCCTGTCAAGGTTGGGGAAAACTGCCATCCCTACTCAACTCTTAATGCCCGGAAAGGGCTAACATAGTGAAACTTGATTAAACTCCTCTTATTTTTTGTAAATTCTTCTTATAAAATCCTATATTTATTATCTATCTCTTCAAAGGTTATATCAGTCATTTGTCTATCTATATATGTCTTTGAAGACATAAAGACATAAAGGACAAATGACTGGTATACAACTAATGTCATAAAAGTGGAGATGAATCACACACACACAACTTTAGGTATTGGCCTATTGGGTATCGGGTAACTTGCGGAGAAAGGACAAAACCCACACCTATCCCAAAACCCTATAGGGTTTTAATCTAAAATCCCAAACCTTGTAGGGTTTTGATAAATAGGTCCTATTAGAATTGGGAAGTACCAAAAAATTCCCACAAAGTCACTTATTCGCCATCCCTTATTTGATCAAAACCACTTAAGACTTAACATTTAAAATTATCTTTAAATTTTATTATCAATAAAATTTTAGATTTTATATCAATAAAATTTAAAATTATCTTTAAAAAATAAAATTCATAGACAGGTAAATCACCTAAAAATAATGATAGAATTGGACTTGAACTTGCTTAGACCAATTGAGTGTTGAGGCAAATAAATACCATTTGCAATCCCAAATCATAAAGCATTGATTTAAAGTCCATTTAAATTTAGAAATAATTGCATCAATAAAATTTTAAAATTAATTGATAAAGATTAAAAATCATAAACAAGTAATCCACATAAAAATATTGCTTGGATTGGACTTTAAGGCTATGTTTGGTTTGAAGGAAAAGGTAGGGAAAGGAAGGGAAACCAATATAACGGTTGTAAAGGTTTCCCTACTTTTCCCTTCCTTTCCCTACATTTTCCTTCAAACCAAACATAGCCTAAATTGCCCAAATCAATTGAGTGTTAATTTGAATTCAGAGAAATAGATACCATTTTCTTTTTGCAATCTTAATTTTTAATTACATTATTTTAAGATTCATTAAATTTAGAAATAATTACATTAATAACATTTTAAAATCACCTATAAAAATTTAAATTTCATAAACAAGTAACTCATCTAACTTGAACCTGATGACTTGGTTTATCAATTACTAAGTAACTTTAATTTTGACATATCCATTCCAAAAAAATAAATAATATTATATATTTTGTTATATTGTAATAATATATATTTATTAAAAAGAAACTATGTACCTTATAGTGGGGTGGGTTCAAGGCGGGGGTCATAGTGGGGGTGGATAAATACCACCTCACCTTGTCCCGGATCAGAATAGTTTCGGGTTTTCCCAAAACCCACCCCTAACTCGATGAATGGTAGGAATGGTGACAGGGCAGGGTCGGGTTTGCTTGCCCTGTACCCGTCCCCAAATTGAAATTCCCCACCCCGATCCTTGATGGGGCTAAAAATCTTAACCCCATCTCTGTCTCTACAAGGAACAGAGATCCCCAATTTTGCCCCACCCTGCCCTAGTCATTCTTACTTGTATACTTATAAACTTATTATAAGTTTATATATATATATATATATATATATATATATATATATATATATATATATTATATAGTTGAGATGGAATTCGAGTCGGGGTTGAGTGGACAAATATCATCCCTACCCTAAGAATTTTGGGTTTTTCCTGAACCCACCCAAACTTTGACGAGTGATAAAAACCCACCCCCGGCTGGGGTAGAGCGGGGTGGGACCCCATGGGATAGGTCAAATTGCCATCTTAGAACAATGATAAAAAAACTTAGCAAACCGCGACGGATCAGGTTGCCATCCTAAAGGATCTACTCTCAACAGTAGGGGTGGCAAATGGGTGGGTTGGGTAAGGGTTGAATATCAACTCACCCATATTGACCCACCAACCCACCATGGCCCATCACCAATTATAGTTAAAGGGTCACAACCTACCCTAACCCTAACCCACCTTGACCCACCCATATTGACTCACTTGACCCATCCATATTGACCTTTAACCACCCTCACCCATACTAACCCACCTACCATCACTTATAGATACAAAAATGGGTTGGGATGGCCCGTATAAACAATATAATAAATTTTGAGAGATTAATCTCTCTCAAGACTGTCACGTGACAAAAACGAGTCAAGTCAACCTGTATACCCGAAAGTTCAAAAATTGTAGATAAATGCAGAAGATTGAAGAAAAATTACAGAAAATGCAAAATAATACCAAAAAATTGTAGAAAAATACAAAAAAATTATGAAAGATACTAAAAGAATTTAGAAAATTCAGAACTTTTGCAGAAACAATCAGAAAAATATGCAAAAAAAACAAAAAATTGTAGGAAATGCATGAAAAACACCAAAAAAATGCAAAATAATGTATAACTTTTATAGTTCTTTCGCAGAAGTGCTTTTGTGAAAGTACTTTTGTGAAAGTACTTCTATAAAAGTGCTTTCATAAAAGTATTTTCATAAAAGCACTTTTATAAAATGCTTTATGCGTTCATAAAAGTGCTTTTTTGTAAAAGTACTTTGTTTACAAAAGTGCTTTTATGCTTTTATAAAAGTGTTTCCGTAAAAGTGCTTTTACAAAAGTACTTTTATAAAAGTGCTTTTATGCTTTCGTAAAAGTGTTTTCGTAAAAGTGCTTTCATAAAAGTATTTTTTATAAAAGTGCTTTTATGCTTTTGTAAAAGTACTTTCATAGTGTTTTTGTTTTCGTGTGAAAGTACTTTTGTAAAAGTGCTTTCATAAAAGTCATTTTCATAAAATTACTTTTGTAAAATTGTTCTTTTATAAAATTACATGTAAACACGAAATTACATAAACTATTTTATTTCACTCTTATTCTTAAAACGAGATGTGGCATAGTGGTTTGGAATTATTATAAGATGTTAGCATCAAGGCTTGGGTTCAAATCTCTATTTCTATTTTTGAGATTTGGCAAGTATAAATAGAAGGATCCAACCCATCTTGACCCTAATGGGTACTCTCGACGTAGCCCACCCTAATTCTTTTCTATTCACCCTAATGAATTGCTCGACCCATATTGTCTCACCAATAGATTGGGTGGGTATGAATGGTTCAATGGGTTGGGATCAAGATAGACAACCCTATTCAACCGTACCAAAACTTTCCAACCGGCAACTGAAGAGACACATCGAAAACATCTCCATGAAACCATGAAATGTCTCAATTCCAATGTACAGCAACTCTTGGTAGTGTTGGGTTAGCAGCAGATCCCTGTCCCCCCTGGAAAATATGCCTCTCCAGAGCATTCAGGTTGGGAGCAGAGCTGATTCCAGTTTCCAGAGGAATTCAACCGTTCGGGTTGTTAATCAAACGAATTTCAGTCTTTAACTCGGCAGTATCATGAGTTAACTCTGGTTTGCAGCACTCCGGGTACGGTTCTCATTTGCATGGCAAGCCGTTTCCTTTACAGACTCTGTAGAGCTTCTCTTACCTCGCTCCAAAATCACTGTTCTGCAAATTCTCATCCTGTCTGGTAGTTCTTGTTTTATATTCCCATTTTAGTTGATTTTTATCTACCCAATTAGTTTGTATTCCTCTTAAACTTATAACCAAAATTCTCTTCATTTTCTTCTTTAACCAGGTTGGTTTTCCAGCACCCCCACTCGATTGTTTCTCCATCCCAGTATTCTTTTCAGTTCAATCCATGGAAGCCTTCTTGGGCTTTCAGGAATTTGAGTCATGGGTCTGTCAATCTTATTATCTCCCAGGGAAAACCCAAGTTCGAGACCCACGAAATCGAACCTCCGAAGAAGGAGAAATGGAAGACCAAGAAGCAATTGAAGCTGCAGCGGAAGAGGGAGAAGCAGAAGAGAAAATCGGCTAATAAAAGGGACCCACGACGTCTCGGCGTCAAGGGGAAGAAGAAGAAGCAAAAATTCCCAAATGCAGAAGCGAGAATCAAGTACAAGATTGAAAGAGTGAGGAACCCTTACATGAATCTTTGTTTATTATGATGTTATTTTCATCTGATATACACTTAAACAATGTTTTCTTACAACGGGGTTCTTTTCTTTTCTCTCGCGGTTATACAATAATGAGGTTCAGTAGTTAATGTTATGAATATGATCCCAGAAATGGGATTTTAGAATTAGAATTGTTTTTGTTCATTTCTTTTTTTGTTTGGGCTACGAAAAGAACAAATTATTTATTTATTTTTGATAGAAAAAGAAACCACATCATTAACTATTAACAAAAGATAATACAATAGAGTTTAATCATTGAGGAAGTCTAAATCATACAAATCTATCCTACTCACTTTTAGCAAAATTAGCTATTCTATGAGCAGCAACAATTTTCTACCTATTTATATTACAAAACATAATCAGCTGGAACTTAGCCTTTATACCTAAAATATCATCTAGAATACTATGAACAGTCCATGGAAATTTAAACCTGCACCAGGTAATTTTCTAACTGCCAAAAGGAAATCAGATTCAATGACCAAAAAATTAGGAATGCTTGATGGATTGCATATAATTTAGCTTCCAAAACATCTTCAGTAATAGAACATTGACAACCTATCAAGTTTTTTCATATAATTTAGCCTTCAATTTCTGGTACATATTCTTTCTTTATTTGAGAGAAAAACAACAAATTTAAATAAATAAACTTTTTTCTCTATGCATAACAAGCAAATAGGGATCATAAGATTTCATGAATAAGGCTGTAGATGGCCTTTAAATACTGATTATGTATATTGTCATGGTGTAAGAAACCATAGTTAGCCAAGTTTTCTAAACTTGGCACTCATCAAAAAAGTTTTCTAAACTAGGCTGTAGATGGGTTTTTTCCCTCACACAATGTAATGATTTCTGGGGTCAAAATGAAGTAAGGAACTATAATTAGCCAACTTTAATGGACAAGGCTGTAGATGGTTATCTCCTTATGTATAAAATAATGATTTTATGGGTTAAGATGGAGTAAAGAATCATAATCAGCCAAATATCATAGACAAGGATGTAGATGCTTATCTCTCTACAAGCTACATGTATTTCAATATGAGACAAGGAAGAAAGGGGAGAAAAAAAGAAGAAACAAAGGGGTGAGAGGAGTAGAAGGGATATGATCCTCCATCTCATGTGGAAGGCTAGGAATATCATAGTGAAGAGGTGCAAGAGGGCTGATGGAAGCATAGAAAGGTTGTAAGAGGTGCAAGAGGCCTTGATTAAAAATCAGACATGAGAAATTATGGATCTATTTGATGGAAAGGAGATGGTTGCAGATGGGTTTATACTGTAAAGTACAGGGCTGATGGAAGCATAGAAAGGTACAAGGCAATGCTAGTTGTAAAAGGGTACACTCAAACTTATGGGATAAACTATTTGGAGACTTTTGCATTGGTAACTAAGATGAGTTCAGTTTGGATCCTCTTATCTCTAACAACTGCTTACTCTTGGCCCCTCTTCCAACTTGGTGTGAAGAATGCTTTTCTTAATAAATATTTGTAGGAGGAGATGTACATGGACCTTCCAGTTAGTTTTTACAATGATATGGCCAAAGGAAAGGTATATAGATTGGAGAAGTCATTATATGGTTTGAAACAATCACCCAGAGCTTGGTTTAACAGGTTTAGGAGTGCATTGATTATGTTTGGTTATATTAAAGCCAATCTGATCATACTTTGTTTGTGAAGAGAATGAGATCATTGGTGTCAGTGTTGATAGTATATGTGGATGACATTGTAGTCATAGGAAAGACCTAAGTGAGATTGATGCATTGAAGAAAAATTTACATCGGGAGTTTGAGATTAAGGATCTTGGGGAGCTAAAGTATTTTTTGGGCTTTGAGGTGGCAAGGTCTAAACATGGGAGTTTCATTTCCTAAAGGAAGTATGTGTTGGGCCTACTACAGGAGATAGGAAAACTTGGGGTTAAACTAGTTGATACAGACCAGAATCATAGAATTAATGCTATAGACGGTGAGCTAGTAAAGTATGTTGGGAGGTATCAGAGATTGGTGGGCCGGTTGTAAACTCAGCCAGTTGATAACATTGTCTGAGGCACCTAACACAAACAAGGAGAATAATTTTAATCTCTTTACTATTTGGAGATTGTTGAGAACTGCTAGGACCTCAACTTTCATAGTGTCCGAAAGGCCAATTTGGCTGCTGAAAGCCCACAGGACTGCACCCTCAGGAGAGTAAAGAACTCTATACTTTCTATCTATTACAAATTAATCTTTCCCTAAAAAAAAAAGGAAGAAAACAATGACAATTAAAAAGTATTCAACTAGATTTTGGTCATAATTTCTGTTCCAAACTCCTTAGCCTAAGTTTGCCTTTGTTTTTTTTTTTTTTTTGATAATTGAAATAATTTTATTAATCAGCAATAGACAATATTTCAAAGTTCCCAAGGAAAGACACGAGTTGCAACCTCTCCGGGCTAGTTAAGTACAGATTTCCAAATTAATAACAACTTACATAGAAGCACAAAAAAGATCTTCTCTATAAA